CACAGTGAGCCACATGGGGGGGGGGAGCAGCAAGAAGCTGGGCGTCGGTACAGGCCGCACGGAAACCGGCGTCAAGTGAGCGGAGGTGAGTCACTAGGTCGGACACAGTCGCAAACGAGCCGAGGTCGGGAAACACAAACGGCATGAGGAGGCGACTGAGGGAGGCAGAGGAAGGGGTGGAATAGCGTGCAACAACAGCAGCCCAATCCCCCTGAGCTGTCTCCACCTGGTCAAAGTGGGCGGCCTCAGTCGGGGGGAGGAGCTCCGTCAGCGCAAGAGCGGCGGCAGCGTCGCGAGAGTCCCACACGTCCCTCGCCAAGACACGACGGTCGTAGTCCGACTGCGCCGCAGGAGTCGGCTCTGGGTCGGTCGGGAGGGGGTCGGGAGACAGGGGCGCCTTGAGGGCACCAGACGCGTGGGCCCATAGGGTGGCGCTGTCCTGGCGCTGACTGGTGAGGTAGCGCATGGCCTGGCGCTGCCAGGTACTGAACTCGATCGGTCGCCCCTCCGCATCGAAACGTAGGCGGCGGGAGGAGTCCATAGTGGACGCTAGGCTAGGAACGGCGGAGGTGAACCTAGGAGTCGTAGGAGCGCTAATAGAGGAGGAAGCCAGGCTAGGGGCTAGAGGCTATGATCTAAGTGCGACCCGGGTCGAAATCTAGTGACCGGAGCGAGAAGCGGCTGCCAGCCGCGGAGTGAGAAGCCAGTAGCAGTACGAATGGTGTTAGCCTGGGGGACAGGGCGGTGGCTAGGTGAGAAGGGGCGGTTGGGACGTTAGGAGGAGGCGGCGCGTGGGTGAGGGCGCGGCCGTTGACGAGGGCGTTGGTAGGGCGCGGGCTAAGGTGGGGGCGAGGGCAAAGGCGAGGGCGCGGGCCTAGGCGAGGGCGCGAGCTGGGGCGACGGGCTAGGGCGCGGGCCTGGGCGACGGGCTAGGGCGCGGGCCTGGGCGACGGGCTAGGGTGCGGGCCTGGGCGTCGGGCTAGGGCGGGCGCCTGGGCGTCGGGCTAGGGCGGGCGCCTGGGCGACGGGCTAGGGCGCGGGCCTGGGCGACGGGCTAGGGCGGGCGTCTGGGCGACGGGCTAGGGCGCGGGCCTGGGCGACGGGCTAGGGCGGGCGCCTGGGCGACGTGCTGGGGCGGGCGCCTGGGCGACGGGCTGGGGCGGGCGCCTGGGCGACGGGCTGGGGCGGGCGCTTGGGCGATGGGCTGGGGCGGGCGCCTGGGCGACGGGCTGGGGCGGGCGCCTGGGCGACGGGCTGGGGCGGGCGCCTGGGCGACGGGCTCGGGCGGGCGCCTGGGCGACGGGCTAGGGCGGGCGCCTGGGCGTCGGGCTAGGGCGTGGGCCTGGGCCTGGGCGACGGGCTAGGGGTGCAGGCTAGGGGCGCGGAGGGCGCTAACGCGCGGAGGAGGAGGGCGCTAAGGCGCGGAGATGGCGCGGAGGGCGCGAAGGCTAAGGCGCGGAGGGCGCGGAGGGCGCGGAGGCTAGGGCGCGGAGGGCGCGGGGGCTAAGGCGCGGAGGGCGCGGAGGGCGCGGAGGGCACGGAGGGCGCTAGGGCGCGGAGGGCGCAAGGGCGCGGAGGGCGCTAGGGCGCGAGCAAGGCTAGGCTAGGCGAGAGGATCGACACATACTCATGATACCATCTCAAAGTTAGCGAACAACGGAATGCATGAACTAGCAAAGTGTTGGATACAAATAGGAAACCCTAGCATCTGTACCCTCTAGAATACAACTCACTACAGCCTATAACTATTATATTTGACAGAAAGTCTGTTGTTGAGACTGCATATTTTTTAAAACTGTAAGACCGTTGTTTAGGAAATCGTAAATGGTCCTGCTCTCATACCATGTTGGGCCGAGAAAAGCATTCATGATCTTTTTTAGAGTCTAGTCCTTAGTGAAGTATTGCAGCGGAAGCTTTGAATTCATGTGTTATTTGAATGTAGGAACTAGAATTGATTATAATAAAACAATACAGGAAATATATATTAGTAAAGTACCTATTCAGTGATGTACATGTTCACTAAACAGGCTGAGTATCGAGTCGACTCTATGAAGCGGAATTTTACTATGTCACGCGAACAGTCACGGGACTGTTCGCGCTACTACCTGTAACTCACGCGAAGGGACACCTGCTAGAGTAACATTCACATATGATAATACTACGATACTACTGTAGTGATTTGCTTTTCAAACTATTGAATTGCATAAGTAAATTATTTTTATCAGGGTAAAAAGCCTGACTTCTCAGGGCGTGCCTGCACCTATGTCAGTGGTAATATTGTAATAGCTGTAATAAGAAAATGGATTGTGGAGTGCTTTGATTAAATCATCATTAATATTCTATTGGTATATAATTCTCCAATGTAGAGGTGGTAAGTGAGCAATGTTCAAGGCTAGGTGAGAAATTCAAAGACAAAGGCTTTATTTGCAGGTGAAATCGTAGTGATAGTGGTTCCTCCAGGTTAGACACTTCACATCTAATATTCCAGTACTGCGACTGATTTTGGAGGTGCAACACACAGTTCCTTTGGGAGGAAAGGGGCACCATAATGCCACATGGATTTGGCCTTGCTGATGTTGGCGCTAGTTTTCACCGATCGATCACTCTGTTTGATGATGTGGAAAATCCGACTGCTCCGCGCTTTCCACTCATGTTTGTTTGGCGCCTAAGTGGCATGCGACTCGATACTAGCAAGAGATGCCTTTGTGAAACTGATTCGCATATGCCTTTTCGCGCGACACGTGATCGTTTTGTCTGGCTTCCCCCATCTGGCCGTTTTCAGGTGTACTCACTGTACCCGCAAATCCGAATGGAGGAGAAAGTGATCCTCAAATCACCGACATCCTGCATTGTACTATCCATTGCGGCTCAGCTGTTTGAGTAACGACAAGTGATTCGACGGTAACTTTTGGCCGAACCGAACCTTCATAATTCTCATGAACCGCTCGGATACACTGGTAGGAATTGGGATGTAATTTACACCTGAAACGAAACATTTTTGGGTAGCCAGGCTGGGAAACCAGGGAACGAAACATCAGGGACAACTGAGTCATGATAAACCACGTCAGGGTGCGGGAATTTGGGATTTGTCTGGTCAACCCACGGCCCACTCAACACAGACAAGTTGTTGCTAGGCAAAGACATTGGACCAGTTGTACCAGTGTGCCTGTAGACACCCTGGTCTCGCTGCCGCGATTTGGAGCTAATGGCTGTGGAGGGTGGCATACAGCAGCGGGCATCAAGCATGCCTCTACATATGCTGCTGGAGCACATGATCCGGTCCGGCCGAAACACCCTCATCTCCTTCTTCCCCCCGCAAACACACGTCGAGATTTCGAAACCGCAAACGTCAAGAGTAGGACAGGCGGGAGGCACCACCAACATAGTGATTCTCCCCTGCCAGCCACGCAATTATCAGGCGGTGTCTGACGGTGCATCATGCATTAGCCCTCCAAATATCTCACACGCCTTCCATCGTGATGGGAACACTCTGGGTCCTCATTGGTGCTAGGGCCAAGCAAACACTGCCATCAGCAATTCCGATGTCGCCTTGTCAACTTCCAGCCGAGCTGGCCCTGTCGGTTCACGTGATGAGCCTTTCAGCAATGCCAAAGGGCAGAGGCTGAATAAGAATCAGCCACGTGGATGCACCTCCCTACTTTCCACTTGATCTTGCACGTTCCTTACTCAGCCCGCCGCAGAAAGCAATGACTGGTGAATCGGTTTCGGTGATCCTCATCTGCCGCCAAACTGCGTAAAACCTGTCTGTCCTTCTCGAAGGTTGTTTTTCCAAACAAGCTTCATCTGTGTAGGAGGACCTCCTCAACTCCTCGGTCCCTCTTCCGCTGGAACAGTAGCAGTACTTCTTCTGTTCATCTCAACCTGCTACATTTAGCTTCTGCTTCTCAAAAGGAGGAGGTTTGCCTTCTGCTACTAGCAGTACTTGTGATGCTTGTAGTTTGCCTGCATGTGCGGCCAAATCGTAGCTCAGTGAACAAAACTCTCCGGTTTTAACTGAGCTCAGGACAATCTCACGAGCCTACTACTAAGGCATATAAAGGATATTCCAGCCGCCCGCGGCGTTCATCAAGCCGACTTTTGCGGCCATGATGATGACGACTAGAGCTCCGCATGTCGCGCAGCGGCATTATGCTGCACGGTGGACTTTTGAGGTAAAATGCAATGACCGCACATAGATAACTTGAATACGTCTCTTTGGGGTTCGACAGAACTTGGTTATTGACAATGGTTGTTTAGACAGAGCCTGGTGTCGGAAAGGTTGGTTCGACTTGGTTTTTACGGAGCCGGTTTTTTTCTTTACGAAACGGAGCTTGTTTTTTTCGACAGAGCTCGGTCAGACCACGTTCTTACCGAGCTTGACAAGTGCAAGTCTGAGGGTCCATATAAAGTGGCCTTTCGAGCTTCAAAATGTACCCCATCTGATTTCAACGTGACTTCTTCCTTCCACTCTTAAAAACCCCGTTACAGGAGGACACGATACTGCTGAACCACGTCATGACACATGGAAGCTCCAAGTGGCACGACTTACACCGGAGCAGGCGTTTGGCCCCTCACCGCGACGCCAAGGCCTGCTGCAACCGGTTCCTGCTCCTAAAAAGGTGCGCTGGAAGCTAGAAAATACGTGAATACCTTGTGCAAAACTAAACCCTGCACTTGTACTCTTCATTATCCCTGCTCACTCAGAGGCTCTGCTCACTCCACCCACCTTACTGCTACTCACCGAATTCACCCTACTACTCACCCCGCTTCACCGTACTCAACCGCTTCGCATTGCTCTCTCTTCGCTTTCTACCACCCTGCGACCCCTCTGCAGAAAGTTTCTTCGAGGCCAGGCGCCCTTTGTGCAGCCGTTTCCGGCGACAAGCTCGCCATCATCCCTGCCAGTGCCAACACCGCTTCTTCCTGTTTCCTCCGTCGCTGCACCTGCTCCTGCCGCTCCTCTCTTGCCGGCCTCTCCCGTCTTGCCCGCAGTTTCCCCCATGCTCGCCGTGGCCTCCGCCACCGCCATGCCTGCATCTCCCCCCACGCCTGCCCAAACCCCCCTCGCCTCTGCACCTGAAAGCACCATCCCCTCCTCCTCAGCCGATGCTGAAACCCACCCCACTGCCGCGCTTGAGCCCGCTGCTCCCTCGACAGTCTGTGAGAGCGGCATCAAGCATCCAGCAGCAGCAGCAGCTGGCGCGGAGGCTGCGCAAGTCGAGCAGCAACACTTGATGCTCTCGGTCCTCCGGTTCTCCGCTCTTCAACTCCCCGCACTCCGGGGCTGCTTCAGTCTCCGGTCTCACTGGCGACAGCAGCTACCCCTCCTCCAGTCCCTCGGAATTCTCCCTTGATGCTGCGGTTCCTGCAGGGCTCTCCTGCAGGGCTGCGCGCACCTCCTCTCCTCCTCCGCCCTCCCCTGCATGCGTGCAGCAGCAGCAACGGCTGCTGCAGGAGCATGAGAAGGAGCACCAGGAAGAGCATCATAATCAGCATCAACCTATTAATCAGCAGAGGCAGGAGAAGGAGAAGGAGGAGGAGGAGGAGGAAGAGGAGGAGGAGGAGGAGGAGGAGGAAGAGGAGGAGGAGGAGGAGGAGGGTCAGGAGGAGGACATGAAGCGGGCAATAGCTCAGCAGCGGCATCAAACGCATGAGGAGGAACATCAAGATCAGGCGAAGCAGCAGGCGGAAGAGAAGGCGAGGGCCGTGATAGCGCAGCAGTGGCAGCTGTTAGAGGAAGCAATGCAGCCGCCACAGGTGGTGCAGCAGACAAGGAAGCGACAGCTCTACGACGCAGAGCACAAGGCGCTCAGGTAAGCACAAGGCGCTCAGGTGAGCACAAGGCGCTCAGGTGAGCACAAGGCGCCCTGGTGAGAACAAGGCGATAAGGTGATAAGGATTAACGTTGAAAACTCCTCTTCCGGCTCTCTTCTCCCCTCCCTCTTCTCCCTCCCGTTTCTCCAATCCCCTCTCCCATATCCTATCTCCCTTCTCGTCTCTTCCCCCTCCCCTCTCCCCTCATCTTTCATCCCCCTCCTCCTTCCCCTCTCCCCTCTCCCCTCCCCCCTCCCCTCTACCCTCTACCCTCTACCCTCTCCCCTCTAACCCCTACCCCCTCCCCCCTCCCCTCTACCCTCTACCCTCTCCCCTTTACCATCTCCCCTATACCCTCTCCCCTCCCCCCTCTAACCCCTCCCCCCTGCCCCCTTCCCCCCTGTCCCATCTCCCCTCTCCCATTTCCCCTCTCCCCACTCCCCTCTCCCCTCTCCCCCTCCCCTCTCCCTTTCCCCTCTCCCCCCTCTTATTTCTTCCCTCTTCCCTCTTACCCCTTACCTCGTACCTCGTACCTCTTACCTCTTACCTCTCCCCTCTCCCCTCTCTCCTCTCTCCTCTTCCGCTCTCCCCTATCCCCTCTCCATCTCCCCTCTTCCCTCTACCCTCTCCCCTCGTACCCTCTCCCTTCTCCTCGCCTCTCGCCTCTCCCTTTTCCCTTCTCCCCTCTCTCGTCTCCCTGCTCTTCCCTCCCCTCTACGTTTTGCCCTTTGCCCTCTTTCCTCTTCCCTCCTCCCCCTTCTCTCTCCTCTCTCCCATTCCTTTGCCCTCTGCCCAATTCCCTCTGCCTCTGCCTGCTGCCCTCACTTTTAAACAATTCATCCTGGTTAAAAAAAAAAGAACCCACTCAACAAACGTTTCCGTCACTGCCTGACTCCTCCCTATCTCACCACCATTCCCCTTCCCGTTTTCCCTTCCCTCCCTCTTTCGCCCTTGCAGCTGGTACATGCTGACGTCATCCCATTCGAAAAGACGGGCAGGGGAAGCAGCACACCCCAGCATCACCAGGCAATCGCATGACAATACACCAATCTCCCACTCCTCCCAGCTCACAGCCCCAGAAATCAGACAACCCATTGCTCATTCCCTTGACCATGCTGCTGCTGCTGCTTCTGCTGCTCCTGCCCCCATTCTTACTCATGCTCCTGCTGCTGCTGCTGCTCCTGCCCCTACTCTTACTCATGCTCCTGCTGCTGCTGCTGCTCCTGCTCCTCCTCCTGCTTCTGCTGCTGCTCCTCCTGCTCCTCCTCTTGCTGCTGCTCCTAATCCTGCTGTTTCTCCTGCCGCTTCTCCTCCGCCTCCTCCTCCTGCTGTTGCTGCTCCATATCAATCACACCCACCGTATCCACCGTACCTATCGTACCCACCATACCCACCATACCCTTCACACCCACCATACCCACACCCACCATACCCTTCACACCCACCATACCCTTCACACCCATCACACCCCCCCGTCAACTGGGCTCCTTCGGCAAATACCCCATGTGCGTCTCAGCCTGTCTCGTCAGAGGAGTCGATCGGAAGCTGCTTCACAAGCATCTCTCCCCGGCCCAACACCCCCAGGATGCTGAGCGGCCCTCTACTGAGAACCCTCTCGGTTTGCAGCTCCCGCAGCAAGGCTCCTCCCAGGCCCATGGTGCATGATGAGGCAACTCAAAGGATAGCACTGGCTTCCCCTGGGCCCATGGTGCATGACCATGCCCCGCCTCAGAGCATGACTCTGGCTCCTGGAACTATGGAGCAACATTCTTTGGTCATGGTAGCAGACGAGGCCCCTGCACCCACGGGTTGCCTTCAGGCTTCCCATAGGATGGCTCTTGCTCCTGCACCCCTGGCGCAAGCACCCCTGGTACAAGCACCCTTGGTACAAGCACCCCTATTAGTACAAGCACCTCTGGTGCAAGCACCCATGGCGCAGCGCTCATCTCGCCAAGGGACACAGGTGCAGCTGCTTCAGATGCCATCCATGCAGCGGCTGTGCCAGGAGCTGCATGCGAGAGGGCGTCCGCAGCAGCAAAGAGATTCGCCTGGGAGTTCTGAGAAAGCTGGCTCGCTTGATTCGATCGACATTTGTGGGTTGGATGAGCCCTCATTATTGGATGGCCCTTCGTTATTGGATGGCGTATCACCATTGGATAGGTCCCCACCGTTGGATGGGCCCTCGTCGCTGGGTGGATCCTCACCGTTGGATGGGCCTTCATCATTGGGTGGATCCTCACCGTTGGATGGGCCCGCATCCTCACCCTTGGATGGGCCCACAATTCTTCAAATGTGCTCCTATAATGAAGGCAAGGGGGCTCAAGATGAAGTGTATAGAAACTGGTGGGATGACCTCTTTCCAGAGATGGTAGACGAGGATTTAGTAGCGGTGCAAGGTTGATGACATTCAAATGAGTGCCAACCTTGGTACACCATCTATCGTTTATATTGTTATGTACCTATTTTTGCTGTATGGGGCCTCAAATTTTGACTACTTAATGATGTGTTACCTGGGTTTCTTCAATTTTCATTTCCTCAGACCACCTAGACCCGTTTATCAGACATAACCTCAGAAGTAAAGCTCTTAAAATCTGTTACGAGTGCAATTGAGTGAGCGAGCGAGAATTGCACTATCGAAGCAAGAGTACAATGAGCGAAGAAATGAGCGAACAATATATAGCGAAAGCCTAGCGTGGTAACGGTCATGCGCGAGAATGTGATGCGCGACGGGCCTAGCGCTGAGGTTGGGAAATGTCGAGGCGGAGGACCGGAGTGCGGGTTACCAACCGAACCGTGAGGTGCGAGGTGTACAGTGGCGGGAACAGTGGTCGAGTCGAGTGTCGCGAGCGGGTAACGTTTCACTGTTGGGTGCTGTTGGCGGGAACAATCGTGCACGCGTTATGCAGGGGCGAAAAGTAAGGAAAATGAATTTTCCTTTCACTACCCCCCTCCCCAAGGAGGCTCCCCTTACGAGAATGCGTGTACGCCCCGAAAATTGCGGCTGCGCAGATACTCGGCCAAGGCGGGGTGGTTCTCAATTTTATCCAGGGGTACCCAGTTGTCTTCGGTGGGGGTGCGATCTTTCCAGCGAATCAGGAACTCGATAATGCGGGCTCCAAGTGGGTCTCGAACGCGATGGCTCAATATCTTTTCGGGGGTGATGACGGCCTCGGTGGGTGGTCGCGTCATGCTGGATGGTCGGCTGCTTGGCAGTTGACTGGTGGATGGGGACATAGGGGCGGAGAAGGCTGACGTGGAAGGAGGGGCTGACGTACCAGTCAGCGGACAGGAGGAGGTGGGCGGTGACGGGTGTTATCATGTGGCTGATGCGAAATGGCCCACAATGTCGAGGAGTACGAGGTCGTCGGGTTGGTATGTTACGGGGCGGCGGTGGCGATCGGCGTTGCGCTTAGCGATGATGTTTGAATTTTTTTATTGCGTCTACTGCTCGGGTCCGGGCTGCCTGTAGGAACTGTTGTGCGCGTGGTACTGGGTTGTCGGGATTCGGGGCACTGTTGGGTTCTGTCCGTAGTTGAGGTAGAAGGGCGACCGTTGTGTCGTGGCTCACGTGGAGTTGTTGTACGCGAATTCGATGAGTGGCAGCTGCTGTTCCCATGTTGCCGGGTCGTCGCACGTGGCTCGGATTAACTGCTCCATGGTCTGGTTTGTCCGTTCTGTTTGACCGTCGGTTTCGGGGTGGTATGATGAACTGAACCGTAGTCGCGTGCCGAACTGCTGCCACAGGTTTCGCTAGAAGTTGCTGGTGAATTTCGTGTCGCGGTCGCTGATAATCGCTGTTGGTATCCCGTGCAGTCGAACGACGGTGGAGATGAAGAGTCGGGTTGTTTCTTCGGCTGTGATTGATTTCTTGCAGGCTGCGAAATATGCCATCTTCGTCAGCCGATCGACGACGACCAGGATCGCGTCGTTCCCACTTGCTCCGGCCGGTAACCCCGTGACGAAGTCCATCGTCACCTACTGCCAAGCACGCTCTGGGGGTGGTATCGGTTGCAACTGTCCTGCCGGTCGCTGTCGTGACGACTTCATGAGCTGGCAGGTGGGACACGATGCCACGTGTCGCTGCATGTCGGTCAGCATCTCGGGCCAGTAGTAATATCGCTGCAGCTGCTGTCGTGCCTCCTGTAGTAGTAACTCCCGTAGTAAAGTGTAGCCCGGTTCCCAGATGCGATCGGTGTCGGCTTTTATCTAATAACCCCATTTTGCTGCTGCGAACTGCTGCGAGTTTCCTCCATAAAGAATGGGTCTGTTTGGTAGCCGTGTGTAAATAGTCCTGTGAGCAGTGGGCTGGTCTGGACGAGTAGTATGGCGTGTATCTGGGCAGTAGGGCGGGTCAGTGCGTCGGAGATATTCGAGGCTCCTTTTTTGTAGGTGACCGTGTAGTGGAAATTTGACTCGAGGAAGTCGAGTCGGCAGATCTGTCGTGGGTTGAGGTGGGGTTGTGCGCGAAGGTACTGTAGTGATCTGTGGTCCGTCCGTACCGTCACGTCTGCGCCGGTCAAGTAACAGCGCCACACTTTGAAGGCGTACACGATCGCGAGCATTTCGCGGTCGTGTATCAGGTAAATTTTCTTGGGCGGATGCAGTTTTCGTGACTCGTATGCGATGGGCTGTAATCCGTTGCCGAAGTCCTGTAGCAGTACGGCTCCGATGGCGATGTCGCTTGCGTCTGTAACCACTTCAAATGGGCGGTGTGGGTCAGCAATGCGCAGTGCAGGCGGTGAACAGGGAGCAGTTTTCAGGGCAGAGAAGGCATCATGCTGTTTCTCCCCCCACGTAAAGGAACCCCCTTCCGTAGCAAATCCGTCAGTGGGGCAGTTAACCGTGCCATGTCGGGGACGAACCGACGCACATAATTAACGAACCCTAAAAAACGCTGCAACTCCGTGATATTTGTCGGGGGGTGCCACGCTTTCACCCTGTCTAACTTTTTGGGTCGATCTCAACTTTAGCCTCCGAAATAACGTGCCCGAGAAATTGTAGCC